GTCAACTATGCTGGTAATAGTAATAGCAGATACAACAATCCTTACAACAACACTTACAATCTTGGATGGCTCAATCACTCAAATTTCTCTTAGAGTAATAATCAAAATCAACCTAAAACTCAAGCCACCCAAGCAGCATAAGTTCCACCTGGTTTTGCTACACCCAACTGTTGTGGCAAATCAAGGCAACAATCAGCTGGAAAATATTTTGAAGTCCTTCATTCAAGATACCAAGAATAAATTTCAAGCACAAGGAGTTAACATAAAAAACCTAGAAAACCAAGTACGGAAAATTGCCACTGCTTCGAGCTCAAGGAATATGGGTACAATACCAAGCTCTACTAAAACTCCAGCTACAACTTTTGGAGTGAATAATATTGAAACATGTCAAGTCATCAAGATTAGAAGTGGAAAAGAATGTGAAGGATCCACTCCTAAAAACACTGAGAGGGGTGGAGTCCTGCCTGAGCAGGACAATTCTGAAGAAAAAGGAGAGTCCAAAGAGGAACCGTCCTCATCTAGAGAACATGAAGAGAATGTTGAGCTAAATTCTAATGACATGACTTCCAACTCAGGAAAACAACCTGAAGTTATGACCGAGCTCGACAGAGAGCAAAGGTTTGTTCAAGAAAGACCCCCACCTCCTTTTCCACAAAGGATTAGGAAGACCAAGAAGGAGCAATAATTTGGAAAGTTTATAGAGATTCTAAAGCATCTTCACATCAACATACCATTGATTGAAGCCATTTAACAAATGCCAAATTACTCTAAGGTCATGAAGGATGTTCCCACCAAGAGGAAAAGAGTGGGAGAGTTTGAAACCGGTGCACTCACTCAAGAGTGTAGTCAATTAGTTCAAGGAAATCTCCCTTCAAAGTTGAAATATATTGGAAGTATTACCATCCCTTGTACCATTGGAGACACCTTCTGTGGTAGAGCTCTATGTGATATAAGGGCTAGCATAAACCTTATGCCCTTGTCCATCTTCAAGAAGCTAGGGATAGGAGCTAACAAGCCTACAACCATCACTCTATAATTGGCAGATAAAAGTATTTGCTATCCTCAAGGAAATATAGAAGATGTGTTGGTAAGGGTTGACAAACTTGTCTTCCCTGCTGATTGCATTATAATGGATTTTGATGCTGATGAAGAGACTCTCATTCTGTTGGGAAGATCTTTCCTTGCTATGGGAAGAACTTTGATTAATGTAGAAATAGAAGAATTCACCATGAGAGTCAATATACAACAAGTTGTGTTCAATGTCCTCAATGATTTATAGTACCCAAAGAAAGATGTATCTAAATATTCAATGATCTCCATCTAGGAAGAAACGACTCATAAGAATTTACTCAAGTCAAGCAATATGTTGGAGCAAGAGCTAGGAATGTTAAAAAGAGAAGTCCAACATGAGGGAATCATTTGTGGGCTCTTGAGAAAACAATATGTGGAAAAAGAATAACCTCTAGAGGTACTGGAGTTGTCCACTATAGTACAAAAGCACAACTCACCTTTAGTAGAGGTTCCCCTGATTTGGAACTTAAGAAACTACCTGCCCATTTACAATACGCTTACCTGGAGGCAGGAAAGAAGTTGCATGTAATTGTTGTAATGGATGTGGATGAAGGACAAAAGAGCCAATTGCTGAAAATTCTGAAGAAACATAAAAGAGTTATTGCTTGGAAAGTTTTTGACATTAAGGGGATCAGCCTTACAATTTGCATGCATGGAATTTTGGAATAGGAAAACGCCAAGAATAGCAATGAAAGTCAAATAAGATTAAATCCCATCATGAAAGGAGTGGTCAAAAAGAGATTAATAAATGGTTAGATACTGGATTATTTATCCTATTTTTAACAGTGTGTGGGTGAGTCCAATTTAATGTGTGCCTAAGAAGGGAGGCATGATTGTAGTCAGCAATGCAAAAGATGAGCTAATCCCAACAAGAATAGTTACCGATTAGAGAATTTACATGGATTATAGGAGTCTGAATAAGGCCACCATAAATGACCACTTCCCCTTACCCTTTATTGATCAAATGTTGGATAGATTGGATGGAAAGAAGTACTATTGCTTCTTGGATGGATATTCAGGCTACAACCAAATAGTCATTGCACCCGAAGATCAAGAGAAGACATCTTTCACTTGTCCTTATGGTACCTTTTCCTTTAGAAGAATGCCCTTTGGACTGTACAATGCTCCTGCCACTTTCCAACGTGCATGATGGCCATTTTTCTGATATTATTTAGAGTTCCATAGAAGTCTTCATGGATGACTTCTCTATTTTTAGGGAATCATTCAAGAAGTGCTTTGACAACTTTGATCTAGTGCTAACAAGGTGTGAAGAGAACAATCTAGTACTAAATTAGGAGAAGTGTCATTTCATGGTGAAAGAAGGGATTATTCTTGGACAAAAATATCTAAAAGGGGCTTGGAAGTGGATCAAGCCAAGATAGAAGTGATTAATAAACTGCCCCCACCAGTGAACATCAAAGGAATTAGAAATTTTATGGGACATGCTGGTTTTTACATGAGGTTTATCAAGGAATTTTCAAAGAACACCAAGCCACTTTGTCAACTGTTGTAGCATGACGTGCCTTATGTCTTCAGTCAAGAATGTTTAAGTGCCTTCAACTTATTGAAGAAAGCTTTGATTTTTGCACCAAGGCTTCTGACTGGATAAAACCATTTGAATTAATGTGTGATGCAATTGGATTTTCCATTGGGGCTGTTATTAGTCAAAGACACAACAACGTGTTCCATACCGTTTACTATGGTAGTAGAACTCTAATTAAAGCACAAGTTAACTACACCACAACTAAAAAGGAGTTTCTAATTATTGTTTTTGCTTTTGACAAGTTCAGATCCTATTTGGTAGGAACAAAGGTCATTGTGTACACTGACCATGCTTCCATCAAGTACCTACTTGCTAAGAAGGATGCCAAACCACGACTCATAAGATGGGTACTTTTTCTACAAGAGTTTGATATGGATATTAGAGATAAAAGGGGAGTTGAGAATTTGGTTGCTGACCACTTGTCAAGATTACCAGAGGAATTCCAAGACAAAAGTGGTGGACAAAATCAGGAGAATTTTCCTGATGAGAAGTTATTTCTGATAATTGTAGGCGTGATTCTATGGTATGCTGACATTATCAACTATCTGGTCAGCAGATTTGTTCCACCTGAGTTCAATTCTCAACAAAGGAAATGATTCTTCCATATGACCAAAAGTTTGTTGATCAATTTCTAAGAAGATGTGTGGATCAACCAGAGGCACGACAAATCTTACTTGTCTGTCAAGAGGCTCCTTATGGAGGACACTTTGGAGGAACTAGAACTACTACCAAAGTTCTACAATCAAGTTATTTATGGCCCTCTCTTTTTAAAGACGCTCATGAACTGGTTAGAAATATGATAGGTTCCAAAGAGTGGGAAATATCTCCATGAGGCAAGAGATGCCTCTTACCAACATCTTAGAAATTGAAAATTTTTATATATGGGGCAATGACTTCATAGGGCCATTTCCTCGATCTTTTGGCAATTTGTACATATTGGTAGCTGTTGATTATGCTTCTAAGTGGATAAAGGCATTAACAACCCTAACTAATGATGCTAGGGTGGTGACCAAATTTTTGTGAGAAATATTTTATCTAGACATGACACCCTAGAGAAATCATTAGTGATGGAGGAACCCATTTTTGTATAAGTCTTTTGATTGGTCGAAAATAATTATATACTCTGCATTAAGATGAATTTTGTTGCAATCTATGTCAAACCTTTTCAAATTCCGCCTAAATGCTTTGGAGGTAAAAGGTTTGTCATTACTAATGCTTGTTAATCCTTTCTTCTTATACCCTATAAATTAGACATGCATCAAATCTTAACGAATCAAAAGAAATTAAACATCCATACCCTAACTTTTCTTTAAGTTGTTCTATTTCTTATAGTTCATTCATACCACTTATCTGATTCTTTCAAATATTGTACACGTTTCTGATCTATTGCGTTTTTGTTGTTTATATAATATTTATCCCGCATTTCTTCTTCAAACGTTCTTAGGTTTCTCATGTGTCTGATGGCCAGACCGTTTGAGTGTATCAAAGACATATATGTTTTTGTTTGGTACGATGTTTCATTTCCTTTTATTTTGTATGACATTTCGTTTTCTTTTTTGATGTATTTAATTTTTCTTCATGATGTCTGAGTTTGTCTAATGTTCTTGGTTGAGCGTGTTTGGTTGAATGTATTTCATAATGTTTGTCGAATGCGATTTTTGCTTGAAAATAATGATTTATGGTGTTATCTTTATACTGTAAATTGTGGTGAAATTGATTTGTATTTCTGAAATTTACACAAAATGCTTTTCTTGATCATTTTTTTCTTCTTATTAGAGGTTGTGTGTTTCAAGTTAACTTCTCTTGCAGATATATGAATTTCTTTGTCCATGGAATTTTGAAGAATGAGTGAAGGGAACCTGAAAAGATCTAACTGTAAGATTTGTTGACTATGTTCTAATTATACTTAGGCAATGCTTTCAATTGCATGTTTACTTGTATAAACTTTATGTATATGAAAAGTTATGTGTAGTAACAAAAAAAAAGTTATGCATTGTTGGATTGATAGTGTAAAGTTGAAATACTACTTAGATCATATAGAATGAGGATATTATGTTGTATATTGTTGATTTTTCAATGAAAAAAAATCAATTTCTATTGTGTTTGAATGAGTATACTTTTTACTTTATTATTGATTTTTGCACTTGCTAAGTTACAGAATATGTTTCGATGAACAAATAGTAAAAATAGGCATCACATCGAAAATGTAGTAATCCTCTCCATATTACTTTTAATTAACCATCATTAATACAATACATACACTATTAAATGATGCACAACTCATTTTTCTATTAAATAAGTTTTAAAATAAATATTATTATTTACATATCATAGAAACGAGAGAGTTATTATATTAGAAAGTTTGGAGAGGATTGTGATATAGTGGTTACCTAGCTGAAGGATAAGATTCTAATTCCATACATAGAGAAGGAACTTCAACTATATCTCTTTCTCTTCCATTATTTGTCTGAATCATCTCCAAAGATAGACATTCATTTAGCCCTGTCAATATTTGACTTATGTCTGGCCTCTCTGCAGCAACTTGTAAAATGCATGACATAGCAATCTCTACAACTTTCCATGCTGAATTGATATTGAATTCTCCCTTCAACCTTGGATCAACTATATTTTTAATATCTCCTCCTTCAATTATAGGACTAACCCATTCAAGTATGTGAATGCTTTCTCCGCCTGCTCTTTCTATTGCTTGACGACCAGTGATCAACACAAATAGAATTATTCCAAAGCTGTAGACGTCATTTCTTTTACTTATGTTTCCTATTCTCTGACATCTGTAAACAAAGCAAACTAATAAATTGCATCACTCATCCATAAATTTATAATACTTTCATTCTTCTATATTTATTCTTTGATTACATAAATTATTAACCTATAAAATGTGGTTATTCTAATCTAATTTTTTTTAGCTAACACTTACTCAGGATCAAGATAGCCAAATGTACCAGCAGGACGAGTGGATATATGTGAATCAATATCATTACCAAAAACTCTACTTAGACCAAAATCTGCAATCTTGGCATGCATTTTATCATCCAATAATATGTTGGAAGGCTTCAAATCTCTATGCACAATAGGGGGCTTAATTCCATTATGCATATAATCAATTCCTAAAATACCATCACCAAAATAAATACAATTTATAGGTATATGATGCAAGAAAGATGTTGTCATAAATAGTACACTACCGTATGCCGCATCTACTGCAATGTTAAGTCTCTCATTCCATTTTAAGATATTTGAATTTCCACCTGAAATCAAATAAATATTTAATCATATAATTGTATCCTCTAATAAATACTCATAATTTATTATTTTCTCACTTAACATTAATACTAATTTGAATACATTAATGGTAATCGGATAATTGGATAAGATCACCATTCTTTCTTTAATTTATTACTGTTTCTTGATCGGTATAAAATGATCAATAATGATAAATATTATGGGACAGAGGGAGTATCTATGTATTGTTGATATAATATAAATTACCTAACAAGTGTTGTTGTAGATTTCCATTGGTCATGTATTCATAAATTAATGCTTTTATTTCACCTTCATCACAATATCCAATGAGGGAGACCAAATTTTTATGATGAACAATCGCTAGAAGTTGTGCCTGGTGAAAATACATGATTTTCCATTTAAATATAACTTAAATAAAATAAAAATTAATTTTTAAAAAAAACTTGAATATAATTTCTAACCTCAGATTGAAATTCCTTATAACCTTGCATTGATGATGGTGAAAGTCTCTTAACAGCGACTTGTGTTTGGTCTTGTAGAATGCCAATGTAAACTTTTCCAAACCCTCCTTCTCCAATAATAGTTTTGAAGTTTTCAGTAATATTTAGAATTTCAGCATGACTGAATATTTGATGTTTTGATTTCTTTGAACCTTCTTTTTTAGAATTGACCCGAACACCTCCAACGGTGGTGCTACCTACCTCTCAATGGTGGGATGGCACTACTTTAAAGGACATTTACACAGACGAATTCCTTAGGGTAGGTAGATTCTCGTAGATACTTGCTCTAATTCAAAACAAAACAAATCAAAAAGACTTTTCACACCGACACTCTTCAAAAGCTTTCAAAGCAATTTTTCAAACACTCTGACACAAGAGTCGATCTGAAACTTTCAAAGAAACTTTTTTAAAACCCACATTGAAAAGCAAACAAACCATTTTTGAAAACACAAATGAGCAAGTATCTAAGAGCCCATGGATAACCATGGATAGAAAGGGTGCTAACACCTTCCCTTTCTATAACCTACCTCCCGAACCGAGAGCAATCTTTATAAGGAATTTTTCTGTGCTTTTGTCCTTTCCATTTGGAGAAAATAAAAGACGGTGGCGACTCTTGCTTCCGCGACATTTCGCGAACCAGCGTTAAACAGTCAGTTCCAGATCCACTGATCACACATACCGTTTACTATGGTAGTAGAACTCTAATTTTAAAGCACAAGTTAACTACACCACAACAAAAAAGGAGTTTCTAGTTATTGTCTTTGCTTTTAACAAGTTCAGATCCTATTTTATAGGAACAAAGGTCATTGTATACACTGACCATGCTTCCATCAAGTACCTACTTGCTAAGAAGGATGTCAAACCACGACTCATAAGATGGGTACTTTTGCTACAAGAGTTTGATAAGGATATTAGAGATAAAAAGGGAGTTGATAATTTGGTTGCTGACCACTTGTCAAGATTACCAGAGGAATTCCAAGACAAAAGTGATGGACAAAATCAGGAGAATTTTCCTGATGAGAAGTTATTTCTGATAACTGTAGGCGTGATTCTATGGTATGCTGACATTATCAACTATTTGGTCAGCAGATTTGTTCCACCTGAGTTCAATTCTCAACAAAGGAAACGATTCTTCCATATGACCAAAAGTATGTTGATCAATTTCTAAGAAGATGTGTGGATCAACCAGAGGCACGACAAATCTTGCCTGTCTGTCAAGAGGCTCCTTATGGAGAACATTTTGGAGGAACCAGAACTACTACCAAAGTTCTACAATCAAGTTATTTATGGCCCTCTCTTTTTAAAGACGCTAATGAACTGGTTAGAAATATGATAGGTTCCAAAGAGTGGGAAATATCTCCATGAGGTAAGAGATGCCTCTTACCAACATCTTAGAAATTGAAATTTTTGATAGATGGGGCAATGACTTCATAGGGCCATTTCCTCAATCTTTTGGCAATTTGTACATATTGGTAGTTGTTGATTATGCTTCTAAGTGGATAAAGGCATTAACAACCCTAACTAATGATGCTAGGGTGGTGACCAAATTTTTGTGAGAAATATTTTATCTAGACATGGCACCCTAGAGAAATCATTAGTGATGGAGGAACCCATTTTTGTATAAGTCTTTTGATTGGTCGAAAATAATTATATACTCTGCATTAAGATGAATTTTGTTGCAATCTATGTCAAACCTTTTCAAATTCCGCCTAAATGCTTTGGAGGTAAAAGGTTTGTCATTACTAATGTTTGTTAATCCTTTCTTCTTATACCCTATAAATTAGACATGCATCAAATCTTAACGAATCAAAAGAAATTAAACATCCATACCCTAACTTTTCTTTAAGTTGTTCTATTTCTTATAGTTCATTCACACCACTTCTCTGATTCTTTCAAATATTGTACACGTTTCTGATCTATTGCGTTTTTGTTGTTTATATAATATTTATCCCGCATTTCTTCTTCAAACGTTCTTAGGTTTCTCATGTGTCTGATGGCCAGACCGTTTGAGTGTATCAAAGACATATATGTTTTTGTTTGGTACGATGTTTCATTTCCTTTTATTTTGTATGACATTTCGTTTCCTTTTTTGATGTATTTAATTTTTCTTCATGATATCTGAGTTTGTCTAATGTTCTTGGTTGAATGTATTTCATAATGTTGGTCGAATGCGATTTTTTCTTGAAAATAATGATTTATGGTGTTATCTTTATACTGTAAATTATGGTGAAATTGATTTGTATTTCTGAATTTTACACAAAATGCTTTTCTTGATCATTTTTTTCTTCTTATTAGAGGTTGTGTGTTTCAAGTTAACTTCTCTTGCAATTTGTTCAAATACTGGTTCTTTAGGTCCATCTTTAACTTTTTTTATTTGAGAGGGGATGATGTTAAGGTTGATCTTAAATGTATTTTCTACTGAAGCTGATTTTTTAACTTTGTGTGTCTCTAACTATCTCCTGATTTGTGGTGGTTAGTGTTAGAAACAGAGAAGCAAGAGTGAAGAGAAGAGAAAGGAGAGAGTAGAAGAGAGGGAAAACAGAAAGTTGTTATATTCAATCTATATTATGTTACATCATCTTCCTTTATATAGTAGGAATAAGGGGATAGGGATGGAATTAGACTAGTGTCTAATTCCATTTTTACAGGATATTACAGAACTACCCTTATGACTCTAATACTCCCCTCTCAAACTTAGGGTGGTTGATCAAGTTTGAGCTTGTCAACAACTCTAAGTTTGGATTTAAGAAATAAGAATCAGTTGGTGGAGAGAGGCTTGGTTAGCACATCAGCCCACTGATCTACTGCAGGAATGTGGGAAACAATGAGGTTCTTGCCAATCACTTCCTCCCGAACAAAGAAAATGTCAAGTTCCATATGCTTGGTTCTTGAGTGCAAAACAGGGTTCTGAGCTAGAGATACAACACTAAGATTGTCACATAGTATCTTGGGAGTCTGATGGGTGATCTGAAGTTCCTGCAGAAGATACTGAAGCCAGAGAATCTCTGTTGTAGCTAAGGCCAGACTTCTGTATTCTGCCTCAGCACTGGATCTGGCAACAAGTGTTTGCTTCTTTGCCCACCAAGTAACAAGATTAGGTCCTAGGAAGATGCAAGCCCCAGAGGTAGACCTTCTATCGTCAGGATCAGATGCCCAGTCAGCATCACACAAGCCTGTGATAGTGATAGGCAAAGTGAGGTTAGCAGGTGAGAGAAGAAGACCATGTGAAACTGTCCCTTGGAGATACCAGAGAATGCGCTTAACAACTTTCCAATGATCCTCAAGAGGGTTTGAGAGAAATTGGCACACTTTGTTGACAGCAAAAGAAATCTCAGGTCTTGTGACAGTAGCATACTGTAGGGCTACCACTATAGATCTGAAGTAGGTGGAATCAACAATAGGAGCAAAGCCCACTTTGGATAGTTTGGTGCTTGAGGCCATAGGGGAAGCAATTCCTTTGGTAGAAGCCATGTTGGCTCTGTGAAGCAGATCCCTGACATACTTGCTTTGAGAAAGCAGAAGAGAACCATTGGGAAGATGAGATACCTCTATGCCCAAAAAATAATCAAGCGTGCCCAAGTCTTTGAGAGAAAAGGCAAGGTTGAGTCTAGTGACCAACTGCTTGATGAAAGAAGAGGAAGAGCCAGTGATGATAATGTCATCAACATATACCAACACTAAGGTGTAGCAGGATGGTGTGAGCATCATGAACAAGGAGGGATCACATCTGCTGGCAGTGAAACCCAGTTGGAGAAGAGACCCTTTGAGCTTATCAAACCAGGCCCTAGGAGCCTGTTTAAGGTCATAGAGGGCTCTGTGAAGCTTGCAGACAAGACCAGGTTCACCCTTTTCAAAGCCTGGTGGTTGAACCATATAAACCTCTTCATTAAGCACTCCATTTAGAAAAGCATTGTTGACATCAATTTGCTGTAAGATCCATCCTTTAGATATGGCAAGCGTTAAAACAGTCCTCACTGTGATAGGTTTCACAACTAGTGAAAAGGTTTCAGTGTAGTCAAAGCCTTCAACTTGATGGAAACCCTTAGCAACCAATCTTGCTTTGTATTTGTTAATTGTCCCATCTGCATTTTCTTTGACCCTAAAAACCCACTTGCAGCCAATAGGTTTTCTGTGAGTAGGAGCAGGAACTAGAGACCAAGTGTGGTTCTTTATTAATGCTTCATACTCAGCTTGCATGGCATTTTTCCACTCAGGAATGGATAAAGCCTGTTTATGTGAGGTTGGTTCCAATTGAGTCCGAAGTAGAGTGGGGTGCAGCTTAGGTCGAAAAATGCCATTCTTGGCTCTAGTGACCATGGGATGAGTGTTAAGAGGTTGAACAGAGGTAGCAGGGGAGGAGTGTTCAGTGAATGAAGAAGATATTATGTTGTTGCTAATGCCTACTGAGGAGGACTCAATATCAACTTGAGGAGACACAGCTGAAGAGTCAGGTGAAGATGTCTCAGGATGAACAAAATGTGAAGAAGTAGAAGCAGACTGGGAGGGAGAAACAGGTGAACCAGGAGCAGGATTAATGCTGCTGAAAGAAGGTTGCCTGTTAGAAAAACCAGGGGAATTAGTAGGTGACTGGAAGTGTGAGTGAGGACCAACAGAGGTAAGGGGAATAGGGTGGCCAGATGAAGGTCCAGAAAAGGGAGTAGAGGAGGGTTTTGAAACAGATGTAGATGGTGAGTCAGGAAATAAAGAAGTATAAGGGAACATGTGCTCATTGAATATAACATCCTTAGACACAAATATTCTGCCAGTAGGATCAAGACATTTATAGCCTTTGTGGGATGGAGAATAGCCAAGAAATAAGCACTCCTTAGAATGCATAGCAAGTTTGTGAGAATTATAGGGTCTGAGATGAGGAAAGCAGGAGCAGCCAAAGGTCTTTAAGAATTTGTAGTCAGGAAATTGAAAATAAAGCAAGAAAAAGGGTGATTTATTATGTAGGGAAGGAGAGGGAAGCCTGTTTATGAGATAGGTAGCAGTGAGGAAAGCATGATCCCAGAATTTTAAGGGTAGGTTATCCTGAGCAAGAAGAGTAAGACCTGTCTCCACAACATGTCTGTGTTTACGTTCCACGGAGCCATTTTGGTGATGAGTATGTGGACATGTGACTGTGAGTTATGCCATGCATGGTTAGAAAGTGTGTCAAAGGTTTGAATTCACCTCCACCATCAGTTTGCACAGACTTGATTTTGAAGTTAAGTTGTAGTTCAACAAGAGCTTTAAACTGAATAAAGGTGGCAAGTGTGGCAGATTTTAATTTTAGAGGATAAATCCAGGTGTAACGACTGTAAGCATCAACACAGGTGAGAAAGTATGAATAGCCAGAGATGGAGGGAACTGGTGAGGGCCCCCACAAGTTACAGAACACAAGTTCAAGGGGTTTGGAGTAAACAGATTTAGATGAGGTAGATGGTAACCTATGCACCTTACCCAAGCAAAAAGCATTACAGAAATCAGAAAATTGTTTATTAGGAATGGAAATATTACACAATTTGAGGACTTGTTTAAGAACCTCAGGATGAGGGTGACCCAACTTGTGGTGCCACAGTTTGTACAGACTGGAAACAAAATCTAAGTTCCTATTATTACAGCTGGAATTGAACACAAAGCTAGACTGCAAAGAAGGATGTTGAGGGCCAGATGTCTTGCAAACAACACTGAGGACTTGAGAGGAAATAGGAGGAGGAGTGCAGTCGAACTTATAAAGACCATCACTCCCAAGGGAACCACTCAAAAGCACTTTAGAAGTACCCTGACATTTTACAAAACTGGCATTAGCATGGAACTTAAAGAATACAACATTATCTTTGGCAAATTGACTCACACTCAGCAGATTTTTAGTAATGGATGGAACAAGAAGAAGATTATTTAGTTTCAAAGAAGTGTTAGGGCATAAATTTGAAGAAAAATTCATAGAGCCAAGAGAAGTTATGGACAGACCTTGGCCATTGCCAATGTGAACCTGATCATTACCAGGCAAGGATACAGAATCGGTAAGATTTGTGGCATCTGGAGTCACATGATGTGAAGCTCCGGAGTCAGGATACCACGCCTGGTTGTAGAAGGGAGAGTAGTCAGTGCCAGCAATCAGTGCCTGAGGCCTTGCACCAGAGTACTGAGATTCCATGACAGGCGCCACAGATCTAGCTTGATTCACAGCTGAAGAACCTGGAGCCCTAAAACCAGGTTGAGTCCACACATTTGGTTGACTGAAGCTAAAATTTCCAAAGGAAGCAGGAGCACCATAAGGAGGATAGACACCATAAGAGTCTTGAGAGTGTCTGTAGTAGCAATAGTTAGCATCATGACCTGGTTTATAGCATATCTGACATTGCACAAAGTTTCTATAGCCGTTGCGGCCACCACGTCCTCTGAACCTTCCTCCTCTATTGTTTTTGCCACGAGAATAGCTGCCACAACCAAAGCTTTGGAAGTTTCCACCACTGGAGTTAGGGATATCAGAATCTTGGGGACTGAGATTGGAACTTGGCATATTACCTTGAGTGAGGTTCACAGAGACAGTCTCAACAACTTCTTTCTTGGATTTCTCAATTCTGGCTTCTTGAGTGAGGAGAAGCGATTCTAATTCATCAATTGAAATGAAATCAGTCTTAGAGTTAACAGCAGCAACAACTGAGTCAAATTCTGATGGTAACGCCTCAAGAATCAGTTCAATTTGGTCACGATGAAGGACTGGATCACCAATCGACATTAAAGTATCGACAATAGTGCGAACTCGAGCAAGAAAATCAGAAATGGTTCTAGTACCTTTCGAGAGAGAGAGAAGTTCCGATCTGAGTTGGCGAGACCGAGTCTTCATTTGCGTATGGCAGAACGCATGAATTTCTTCCCAGACTTGCCACGAGTGACGAAGGAGAACGAAACGAGAGAGAAGCGAGTCTGAAATCATGGATAACAACCACGTGCACAACAGCGCATCCTGTTCTTCCCACGCGACGAAGCGAGGGTTCTCACTTCCGGTGTCACGATCGACAACAGTGAGGTACCGTTCCGGTATCTGCGGTGAGACGACAAACCGCACCATTTTCGTGCCACGAAGAACTCCTTCAACCTGTTGTTTCTACTGTCGATAGTTGTTCTCATCAAGCTTGACTGAAATTTTTTGTTTGAAGGTGGAGCTAGCAGCGGCGGTGCTGCCACCGCTTGCGGTGGACGGCGGCGATGGAGAAGTCATGAGCGCCGAGGATCAGAGATGAGCTCTGGATACCATGTTAGAAACAGAGAAGCAAGAGTGAAGAGAAGAGAAAGGAGAGAGTAGAAGAGAGGGAAAACAGAAAGTTGTTATATTCAATCTATATTCTGTTACATCATCTTCCTTTATATAGTAGAAATAAGGGGATAGGGATGGAATTAGACTAGTGTCTAATTCCCTTTTTACAGGATATTACAGAACTACCCTTATGACTCTAATAGTTAGATGTTTTTAATTTTTGTGATGGACATGTGAGGTTGCTGCCAAAAGAAGATGCAGATATATGAATTTCTTTGTCCATGGAATTTTGAAGAATGAGTAAAGGGAACCTGAAAAGATCTAACTGTAAGATTTGTTGACTATGTTCTAATTATACTTAGGCAATGCTTTCAATTGCATGTTTACTTGTATAAACTTTATGTATATGAAAAGTTATTTGTAGTAACAAAAAAAAAGTTATGCATTGTTGGATTGATTGTGTAAAGTTGAAATACTACTTAGATCATATAGAATGAGGATATTATGTTGTATATTGTTGATTTTTCAATGAAAAAAAAATCAATTTCTATTGTGTTTGAATGAGTATACTTTTTACTTTATTATTGATTTTTGCACTTGCTAAGTTACAGAATATGTTTCGATGAACAAATAGTAAAAATAGGCATCACATCGAAAATGTAGTAATCCTCTCCATATTACTTTTACTTAACCATCATTAATACAATACATACACTATTAAATGATGCACAACTCATTTTTCTATTAAATAAGTTTTAAAATAAATATTATTATTTACATATCATAGAAACGAGAGAGTTATTATATTAGAAAGTTTGGAGAGGATTGTGATATAGTGGTTACCTAGCTGAAGGATAAGATTCTAATTCCATACATAGAGAAGGAACTTCAACTATATCTCTTTCTCTTCCATTATTTGTCTGAATCATCTCCAAAGATAGACATTCATTTAGCCCTGTCAATATTTGACTTATGTCTGGCCTCTCTGCAGCAACTTGTAAAATGCATGACATAGCAATCTCTACAACTTTCCATGCTGAATTGATATTGAATTCTCCCTTCAACCTTGGATCAACTATATTTTTAATATCTCCTCCTTCAATTATAGGACTAACCCATTCAAGTATGTGAATGCTTTCTCCGCCTGCTCTTTCTATTGCTTGACGACCAGTGATCAACACAAATAGAATTATTCCAAAGCTGTAGACGTCATTTCTTTTACTTATGTTTCCTGTTCTCTGACATCTGTAAACAAAGCAAACTAATAAATTGCATGACTCATCCATAAATCTATAATACTTTCATTCTTCTATATTTATTCTTCGATTACATAAATTACTAACCTATAAAATGTGGTTATTCTAATCTTTTTTTTTTAGCTAACACTTACTCAGGATCAAGATAGCCAAATGTACCAGCAGGACGTGTGGATATATGTGAATCAATATCATTACCAAAAACTCTACTTAGACCAAAATCTGCAATCTTGGCATGCATTTTATCATCCAATAATATGTTGGAAGGCTTCAAATCTCTATGCACAATAGGGGGCTTAATTCCATTATGCATATAATCAATTCCTAAAATACCATCACCAAAATAAATACAATTTATAGGTATATGATGCAAGAAAGATGTTGTCATAAATAGTACACTACCGTAAGCCGCATCTACTGCAATGTTAAGTCTCTCATTCCATTTTAAGATATTTGAATTTCCACCTGAAATCAAATAAATATTTAATCATATAATTGTATCCTCTAATTAATACTTATAATATATTATTTTCTTACTTAACATTAATACTAATTTGAATACATTAATGGTAATCGGATAATTGGATAAGATCACCATTCTTTCTTTAATTTATTAATGTTTCTTGATCGGTATAAAATGATCAATAATGATAAATATTATGGGACAGAGGGAGTACTATCTATGTATTGTTGATATAATATAAATTACCTAACAAGTGTTGTTGTAGATTTCCATTGGTCATGTATTCATAAATTAATGCTTTTATTTCACCTTCATCACAATATCCAATGAGGGAGACCAAATTTTTATGATGAACAATCGCTAGAAGTTGTGCCTGATAAAAATACATGATTTTCCATTTAAATATAACTTAAATAAAATAAAAATTAATTTAAAAAAAAAACTTGAATATAATTTCTAACCTCAGATTGAAATTCCTTATAACCTTGCATTGATGATGGTGAAAGTCTCTTAACAGCGACTTGTGTTTGGTCTTGTAGAATGCCAATGTAAACTTTTCCAAATCCTCCTTCTCCAATAATAGTTTTGAAGTTTTCAGTAATATTTAGAATTTCAGCATGACTGAATATTTGATGTTTTGATTTCTTTGAACCTTCTTTTTTAGAATTTGAAGACATAAATACTGCGACGATAAAAAAAAAAAAAAAAAAACTGAATGAAAATATGCAAGAATGTGGGATATAACAATTAAGTACCATACCATTCATAGAATAAAAAATGTCTCTAAGTACCTTTTCGCTTTTTGAATATCCAAAATCCAAGTAAAAGCAAGAGGATTACAAGTAATGCAGACAATGATGCAATAAGCGCTATAAACGATTTCTTCTTTTTGCATGATTCCTTCGTACAAAGATCATAATTATCATCCACACTAAAACAATTCAAATGAGTATAGATATTATTAATCATATCATAAATATATGTATATTATCATTTGTAAAGTGAAACTAATATTCATATTTATACTGCATTAAGTTTAAGCCATTTTGATGAAAAAATATAACGTCAATGGCACACCTTAATAATAATGAACCTCTTTCTGATTTCTCAAGTAGTCCACTTGGAACTAACCCTGTAAGATTGTTCTTTCCCACATTTCTACAAACATGTGACAAATAATACAATATTTTCTTTTGTATTAATAATCAAAGAAATTGCATTTCATATGACTTACAATACTTTTAGCGACCGTAGTTGTATCAGAAAATCTGGTAAAGGACCATTTAAGCTATTGTTTGATAAATCCCTAAAAAAAAAGATAGAGTGTGAAATTATATTTATGTATAATAAAATCTTTTTTAAAATAAAGATTTAAAATAATACAATTAAACGAAAGATAAAAAATGTCTTTTAAATATATAGTTAGCTTCTCTTATTTTTTATTCTAGAATCCACTTTTTGAAGTTTCCTAATTTTAATCTAAAAAACCTCATATAAAAGAAATCATGATATGGTCTGAGAAAATTGGACCATAACCCTTTTGTTATGAAACTTTTTCTATGAACAAAAATTATGAGATTTTCTCCCCCTTTATTGTCCCAGATTCATTAAATATTTTTTTGCATTCTACAATCCAAACAATATTTGTTCGAATTTTCAAATTTGAACCCATTAAGAATTTATATGCAGCAATAAGAGTTTTGAAACCCGTCACATTCTTCTACTTTTTTTTCACTCCAAACCACCTTAAATAAAACTTCATTTACAAGATATTTTTGTTTGAATACCTAATCCCATCATCCATTTACTCCATTCACACAATTTTCATGTGAAATTAAAAGTAATGTGACTCTAAACCCTTCCACATTGTATTTACTTAATTTCTGTGTCATTCACATAGCACACTAAAGCTATTGAAATTTATTACCATACAGTTCTGTACTTATATCATGCAAATTCTAAAACTCGGAAAATATAAAACCCATTCAGATTGTATAATGTAAACATAACTTTTATTATAACAGTTTTGTTGAAGCATGTCTCAAGACTGTAAGTGATGAAGAGAAAGAGAAATTGTTTTGAGGTGAATATTGATGACGAATGTAACGTCTGTAATTTAATTAATTATTTAATTAAATTATTTTTAGAATATTTGAGAAGATGTGTTGTGATTAATTGGATTTAATTATTTTATTAAGTGGTGAAATAATATTAGAAGTATAATATTATTTTATGTGGGCTTGTTTTAAGGAATGGAAGTAGTAATAAGGGAGTGTATTAGTTTTAAGTCCAATAAGGAATAAAGAATAATAGGTTATTTTATTCTTGCTAGAAAGAATAGAAAAGAGGAGGCAGTAGAAGAATAAGGATTGAGAAAAAGAACGTGAAGCTGCTGGAAAAAGAGGAAAAACGGCATAACGAGGTTTCAACCGGAAGATTATAGAGCGACCTTCAATTCAAGGTAATTGTGGGGTTCTGACTCTATAATTGGATTCATGATAATTGGTATGTGGGGTTAGAGGTGATTGTTGTCTTGTTCATGAATTGAATGTATATGATGTTGTATGATGAAATTGATGAATTTTAGATGAATAATGATGTTCCGATGTTGTTTAATTGTCGTAGAATTATAGGATAATTGTAAGTGATGATTATCTATGATTAGATTAATTTTTTAGGGCTTAAAGTATAGAATCCGTAGTGAAAACGCGGAGAAAATTGCAGAAATTATGCAGGACAAAACAGTATGCGTCGACCCCAAACATGATGTGTCGATACATGAAGGTTTAGAGACTCAAGTGAGTTGACACGAAGAGGTTTTGCGCCGATACAAGAGAGGATGCGTCGACTCGTGTTGCGAGTTCAGTGCAGTACGCGTCGATCCAAGACGTTATGCGTCGATCCACGTTGCCTGGTTTTTGGCAGAATCAGTTTGAGAATGTTGTAACTTGAGTTTTCGGACTCCGTTTGAGGTTTCGTTCGAAGCGTTGAATAGCTAACGCGATAAGTTTTATTCTTAAGGGTTAAAATGAAGATAGGAAGGATAACCATAAGATTTGAATTAGTCACTACACCAAATTTGTCTTTTAGCAGCACCCCTACTAAAGCGCTTTTTGTAAAAAGCGCTGGTATAGGTTGCGCTAAAAACAAAATAAAAAAACACGCTAAAAAAGCGCTCTTAAAGGGGGGGGGGGTTACAAAAGCGCTTTCAGAAAGCGCTCTTAGAGGCTGGGGTACGAAGGCGCATTTGAAAAGCGCTCTTATAGTGGGGGGGGTATGAAAGCGCTTTCTGAAAGCGCTCTTATAGGGGGCTTATGAAAGCGCTTTCAAAAGCGCTGATATAGGGGGTGGGGTACAAGAGCGCTTTTATCCTCAAAAGCGCTGGTATAGCCTTAGTTACGAAAGCGCTTTTCAAAAGCGCTGTCATACCCTCTTTACAATTAAAAATTTTTAAAACAAAATTATACTAAACGCGTTCTTCGTTTCCAAATCCCTAATTTCTGCTGAAAACGCACAAAATCTTGCATTCTCAGAAAACTCACAAAATCGTTTCCAAATCCCTAATCGTTGAAAACTCACATCGTTTCAATCGTTCTCCGTTCTCAATCGTCTTCTTCGAAAGAAAAAAAGCTTGGAATACTTAAGGATCAAGAGCTTGCTTCATCAAGTCGTCTCCAATATTTCATCATCATCTTCTTCCTAGAGGTGAGTTCATAGTTAAATTTTAGCTTTGAGAGAAAAATCCATGGTTGGGAAGTTAGGGTTTGTGTTGTTGTTGTTATGAACATGAAACTTGATGACGATACATGCTTACTTGTGTGATTTCATGTTGAATGTGTTGTGGTGTTGGTATTATAATTATTTTGGATTATGTTGGAATCATGAGATATGTTTGATTGTTGTTGATTCTTGAGAGTTTACATGTGGATTTCACTAATGTTAGAATATGGTTAGGGTTGATGGGGATGGTTTAGAAATGATTTGTATGTAGAAAATTGGGTATTTTTAGCCTAGTTGTTGTGGTAATCAATTACCACTTGGTAGTATTCGATTACCAGCTTAAAAATTGGGTTTTGGATTGTTTTGAGGACTGATAATTGATTACCACATACTGGTAATCGATTACCACTGACCATATGGAAAATTACCAAATTGAAAATGATGTGGCTTGAGTTTCATAACTCTATTTTGGACGCGGTCGGAAGCGTTAAAAAGCTAACACTGAGGGATATTACATAGATAAGTTTCCATGAGTTTATTTAAATTTACTTTTCCCGTTGAGTCTGGTTAACCCCATCATAGGATGATTCGATAGGCGCTTACTATGTGGCGTGAAAGTGGAATAAGTTAGAATGAGACGAGTCATATGATGGCTCTGCCTAAGGTTTATAGGGATATGTTAGACTATCATGTGTGTTTCATGTATGCTTATGATTTATGCAATGGATTGGTTCCTTGTGTCCACCATAAAACAAGAATCATATCTGATTATTGTGAGGTCGAATATATTAGAAAGTTAGTCAAATGCCTCGTCAATTGATGAGAAGAAATCATGATTGAGCCATGACTAATGTTTGGGTATTGGTAATGAATTGGTTATGTGTGTTTTTGAATCATATTATGAATTGTTGTTTGTGTTTATTGAATGATAATTGAGCAAAAACTATGATGAAAAGTGAAGTTAAATCTAGATTTGTACTAAGTGAATGACTTAGAAAGATAACTTAGGTAATGAAAATGATTTAGGTAGTGTGGCTTGGACGCAATGATACCTCGGTGTGTATCACAGACAAGTATTCGCTTGATTTTAAGAATAGTTGAGCATATTTTAAAGTTGTTGTGTTCTCTTGACAGTTGTTTTAAGATAAGTTGTCGACTAGACAAAACTTACTAAGGCGCAAAATCCTCTAAGATTATAGTTTTGGAGGGTTTTCAACGTGCAGTGGGCAAGAGAAGTCAACAAATTACCTCTTTATTTTTTACGAGGTTATTTGTACCATTTGGTATAGAGTTTTTAGGCGAGTAGGAAAGTCGATGCCTTTTCCACACTCGAATACCAAGGATTTTGATTTGTTCTAGAGTTTTGGTTATAGGAAACATACCTCTTTAGACTTGATTTCGATATGATATTTTGTAGTCTGAATTATTTAGAAAATATGAAACAAAGTTATTTTTATAGGGAAACATTGACGGTTAATTAGTGGATGTTGATGATAATTAGCTTGACATGGAAATACATTCAAGGCCATGTGTCGGATTTGGTCATTTCTCTGATTGAATGGATCAGTAGACCTTCTTACTGACACTATAGAAGGTACGGTTTCTTTTGAAGTTTTCTTTGCAACTCATTTGTCGATGTATTCTATTTTGATTTTGAATTTCATTTCATCTTTCAGGGGGAAGGAAACCTTCAGTTGCTGCTATTGATGGTCTTGCCCTGGGTGGAGGGTTAGAGCTTGCGTGGTTTTGAGAATAAAGTTTTGGTATTGCTTCTCAATCGTCTTCCATCTTTGCTGCTGCTTTTTGCTGTTTTGCTATTTGAATTGAATCTACTCACATCTTCGTCTAAGGTGATTTTCATTATTTTATTATTATGCCTTACAGTGTAGCTTTTTTGGTGAATATCATTATATTATATATCTTTTTTTGAATTTCTTTTCAATATGCTTGAAATAGATAGATCAATCAATGTCTCTAATATTGCTCTTTAGATATTGTTTAACATCCAGCATATGGCTTAGTAGTAGTAAGCTTAGATGCTGAGTTTGTATAGTTAAGAGTGTGAATCTGCTGAAATTAAATGCTGAGTTTGTATAGTGAAGTGAAAATATGGATTAAGGGATAAAATGTGTATAATTGATATTGATATAACTGTAATCATAGTAATCACTAATTACATCCTAACCCCCCAAAAACTTTCTATCATTGTTATTTTTACTTTATATTTTTTTATGTTCAAAACATTTTTCAAACAAAGCTCTTGTTTGCTTAGAATAGTAATTATTACATATAAATTGTATTATCATCTTTCCTCGTGGACTCATAATTTTAGTCATTGTATTTTGATATTTGTTGACACATCTACTACACATACAATAAAAATTTTAAACAAGACTATCAAAAATTAAGTTCAAACTTAAAACATCTTTTTATTTAAAATAGATTTCTTACAATTTTAATTTCATATATTTATCTATCGTTAAGTGAGGTACTTACTAACTTTGTGAATTGAATTCGCCATAGGGGTTACTTGTGAAGAGTGAAAGTTTGACCGTTTTTGTTTAGCTTAATTAAGACATGGATAAG